TATATATATATATATATATATATATATATATATATATATATATATGTGTGTGTGTGTGTGTGTGTGTTTGCGCGCGTGAATTTGAAGTTTAATTGCTTTTACTCAAAAAAATTGAAAATATTAGATTTCAGAAAGATGTTCAAAACACATTTGTAAAACACGCAAAATCACAATCACACACACACCACACATATAATTTGTGTGCGAAATTATAACCAGGAAAAAAACCGAAATGAAAATATTGAACATGGTAGTAGAGAACGTACACCGTACGCTAGCATCTCACCTCACGTAATCCTTCTATAAAAATTCAGGCGTGCACACAGTTGTGCACCTTGCTTGTTCACTCATGTTGGCACTTTCTCTTCTGTACCTATCATATTGGATGAACATCAAGTCTGTCACGGAGTTTCAATGTTTAAGGATTGTTGTTTCCATCTATAAGAGTGATCAATCGTCACTTTCTGGTGAGTCAAGTCATCCTTTCAACAGGACCCTCCCTGTCCATCCTCCATTAAATGTTAAATAATCTTTCGTTCCCAGCCAAAGTAGGTGTCGCATATAAAATCTCCGACTCTCCGTTTTCAACCTGCACTAGCACTGATAACATGACTGAAGTAACAAGCGAAGGAGCGAGGACAACAAACAAACTTAGAAAAAACTTTCCACCAAAGCAGCTCAGAAGCACCGGTAAAGAAACGAAATCAGAAAAATAAGTTTCCGGACAAAACACCCCACCCCACCACCTTGTTTCAATTCCAGCTCATAATAACGCTTAGGTTAACGATGACATTCAATTGATCGATCGTTGGGGAAGAAGAAAGGACCGTATGCAATGGCATCAGGAGTACCACTTCCAAGAGACGGTGCAGACTGCAACCGAACGTCTGACCGTCAAATGAAAATCTCAACAATTGCAATAAATTAAATAAATAATTTCTTGATTAATAATTTATTTCGCTGAAAACTAAAACAATTCAAAACTAAACAAATATTCAACATATTAAGAACGATGAGAACCAGTGAAACCCGATAATAAACGTTTCGTCTCGTGAAAATTATGTGATCAACAACATCAACAAGCGACCACCACCCAATTACACAAACCATCACACTCCCCACAGACAACAAACGGAAAAAAACAACAACAGCAACAGCAAACAACAACAGCAAAAACAACAACAACGAAGAGCAACAGCAAACAACAAACACTGCAGTAATAAGATCTCGGTGCACAATCGCTTTATTAATCATTACCTCGCAATCTCCAAACAAAAAAAAATATAAGTCACAAGATGAACGGCACTAATGTATACTAATGATAATAATAATAATCATAATAAAATATAATGATAACAAAGATTAAATTTCTTACATGCATGCAACAGCATCAATCCTAATCGTCCCCGTCGTCGTCATCATCATCGGCATTCACGCCACCATTTGCAATCTTTTTGCCGACATCTTTCATGATGACGTCATCATCATCATCATCATCATCGTCGTCATCATCATCACCACCACCAGCAGTCCCTTCAACGTTCTTCTTCTTCTTCTTATCCCTCTGAACCTTGCTGGCAGCACCCCCTTCCTTACCACCCCCCTCCTCCTCCTCCTCCTCATCCTCGTCGCTGCTGTTCTCATCTCCACTGATTTCTTCATTCTGTCTCTTCAATCGCTCCATGCGTTCGGCCAGTTCCAGTTCCTCAATGTCAGAAACAACTTTCGGCTGCGTGGGTTGATGGATGGATGGATGAATTGGTTGATGGATGGATGGATTGGTTGATGGACGGACGAATCGATAGATAGGTTGATGAATGGATTAGTTGATGGGTAACATGGATGGATTCTGGATGGATGAATAGATAGATAGATACGAGCGGACGGATAAATAGAATGAGGGATGAACAGCAGGAAAGACAGGTTAAAATGGAAAAAAATGTTAAATGCAACGAATGATTAGTGAAAAATAAATTAATGAAAAAATGAACATTTTTCTTACTAAAGCAAACTGCCACCCAGCCACACCCCACCCTCATCATTTTCTTTCTTCCTCTACCACCACCACCACCACCACCCCATCTATATTTTCCATCTCTCTTCCTCCCCCTCCTCATTTCCATCATCCCTCCTTCTTCGCCATCATCATCCTCATCACACGTCCTCACCCACAACGCATTCACACTCATCGACACTGACCGCCATCTTAACAGTGAAGACCCCCTTGTTTGATTCGATTGACTGTTGGATCAGCTTCGATGCCTCTTCCAGCTTCTGTATGCCTGTTGCCATTGTCATGTGTGATGATTGTGATGGAGATGACGTTTGTGATGATGATGCTAGTGATGACGATGTTAATGATGATGATGTTTGTGATGATGATGATGTTAGTGATGATGATGTTTATGATGATGATGCTAGTGATGATTGTCAGGGTTCAGTGTAGCGCTATACGATTTAATTCAATAACCAGTAAACAAGTGAATAATATCTCGTGGCCGTGGGGATTGCAAGTTAAAAAAGTGTATAAAAGCGCGGGGAAGGCTCAGAATTTCAGTTCAGGAATTATTATCATCGCGAGAGTTATCGTGGAGTCTCGGAAGTATATTACGTGAGACGTGGAGACTCGAACTTTGTAATATTACGTGTGATATCAGAATTAGTGCTGGAACAGGCTAATTGGCGAATTTGTGAACAGAAGGAAAAATTGGCGAATTCGTGAAGTGGTAAATTCGTGAACCGACGAATTGTAAATTATATATATATATATATACAGAGATATTGACTCTAAAACGTTATAATTAATTAATTAGAGATATTGACTCATAACGTCGGTTATTAATTATTGTTAATTGCCTTACATTACAAACTGTATTTTACGTTGTAATAGAGAAATTGTTACTTGTTCTTGAAATTCGTACTTGTTCTTGTTGCGAAGTTGAATTAATAATAAAAGTTAAAGAACGAACCCTTACATTTGGTACCAGAAGTGGGGTTCACACAAAAAAGAATATTGAGTGTGTACGTGAAGACTTCAACGACAAAACAAGTTGGTATAATTGTAGCAATTTATAATTATTTTGGTAAGGTAATATGGAACGGCAGACAAGGTCGAAGGTGGCGGGGGCGACGACAGACGGTGAAGGTGTCGCTGAATCATATGATATCAAAAGGTTAGAAGCGGAGACAAAACTGGAGAAAATGCGTAGAACTGATGAGAGACTGAGGGAAGCGAGTCTTCGAGATCATGAATTTCGGTTGAAGGAACTTGAACTGCGTGCTCAACAAACACGGGAAACCCCTTCTAACACTGCACTTCGGGCCATAGAACGGACTAACTTTTTCGCCAAATCGTTGAAACATTTGTTGGGGCCATGTCCGACAGACATCAGAGATGTACCAGCATATTTTGTCCGAATAGAAAAGATTTTCGATAACCATGATGTGGATTGGGACATTAGGGCGAATTTATTAATGATGAATTTAAATGATGGAATGAAGTCCTGGCTTGATAACCTCAGTGGAGAAGACATGCGAGATTATGCGAAGGTAAAACAACATTTACTTCGAGAATATCGTATTAACCCCGTTCGTTTGCGAGATGAATTTTTTGCAATGCGGAGACAGAAGGAGGAGTCGTTTGTTATGTTCGCTCATCGACTGCACAACACGCTTCAGTTTTACTTACAAAATCGTGAAGTCGATTCATTTCAAAGTGTGGTAAATTTGATTTGCGCCAACCGCCTGAAGGAACTTCTTCAGAAAAACGTGTTAGAATTCGTGTTAACCCAAGAAATGGACGACTGGATGGATTATGAGGTTTTAGCAAAAACAGTCGACGTCACGAATTGAATATGAAGATGTCCAGCCAACCAACGGCAACAACGCGACCACCTTCCGTTGTTTATAAAAACGTGTCCAATGATGCCAGAAGAGAGGACCGGTGCTACAGATGTAATACGTCAGGGCATATCGCAAGATTTTGTAACCGAAAACCGACATCAACCGACAAAACGTATTCTTAAACGCGAGGTTACTTCAAAACCGAAATGGCTACACGTCATAACGAATGCGAGTCAACAAGGGAAAGTGCCAAGGGTCATACAGGCGGACAAGTTTTATGAAAGGTCGTACGTTGATGTGATGCTGAACGATACACTAAATCGGAAGGCTCTGATTGATAGCGGAGCGGAGGTTTGTTGCATTAGTGAAGATTTGTGTGAAAGTTTGAATCTGCCATTAGAAGGTAAGTTAATGGTAAGAGGTTTGGAACCAGAGGGTAAGGAGGTAGATGGTGTATGGATAAATCTGAAACCGATACCAGGTGATGAAAGGTGTAGGGTTATGGCTCCTGCGGTGAAGGTGTGGTGTGCAGTGATACCAGGTTTGGTAGAAGGTTTATTGATAACTCCAGGGGTGGTAGAGTTATTAAACGAAGTCAAGCACTACGAGGTTCCCAGTCCTGTGAACGATGATGATGAGCAGAGGGTGGGGGAGGCAATGTCTGACTGTGATGTGGAAGAGTGGTCTAATCGGGATGGGGATGGGATAACTGATGAGGTTGGTAGAGGAGAAGGGTTGATAGGTACCGACAATGGAATAGATGAAGAAGGTCATGACGAGGCGATAAATGCTGACGCGAATGAGGTATTGGTAAGGAAAGATGAGGATGCATTAGATGAGGTACAGGTGCCTGATGAGGGCGAATTACATCAGTAGCTTCGATGCTAGAGTGGGTATTGGCAAATACCAATGGAAGAGGAGTCACGCTGGCTGACTGCCTTTGTTTGTGATGAAGGACTTTATGAGTTCAAACAACGTTGAATACCATCGACTATGCTCGAGATTTCGGGCTAATCACAGATGCCAGTGATCATACTGTAGGATGTTGTCTTGTACAACAGGATGATAATGGTTGCGAGAAACCTATAGCGCTTGCCAGTCGTAAATTGACAGACACTCAACGTCGGTGGGCAACAATCGAGAGGGAGGCGTATGCCATTATATGGGCTCTACAAAAGTATCGGCCATGGATTTGTATGTCAACGATACACGTTTACACCGACCACAACCCATTGACATATTTAACCGAATCCACGCCTAAAAGTTCTAAACTTGCATTACAAGAATATGATCTACGCTTCACCTATAGGGCAGGTAACCGAAACGTTGCAGACTTCCTGTCCAGGTTGCAAGAGGATGGAGGTACAAGGTAATGAATATTCCTCCCCTAGGAATATTCATCATGTTGGGTGAGAGGTATGTCAGGGTTCAGTGTAGCGCTATACGATTTAATTCAATAACCAGTAAACAAGTGAATAATATCTCGTGGCCGTGGGGATTGCAAGTTAAAAAAGTGTATAAAAGCGCGGGGAAGGCTCAGAATTTCAGTTCAGGAATTATTATCATCGCGAGAGTTATCGTGGAGTCTCGGAAGTATATTACGTGAGACGTGGAGACTCGAACTTTGTAATATTACGTGTGATATCAGAATTAGTGCTGGAACAGGCTAATTGGCGAATTTGTGAACAGAAGGAAAAATTGGCGAATTCGTGAAGTGGTAAATTCGTGAACCGACGAATTGTAAATTATATATATATATATACAGAGATATTGACTCTAAAACGTTATAATTAATTAATTAGAGATATTGACTCATAACGTCGGTTATTAATTATTGTTAATTGCCTTACATTACAAACTGTATTTTACGTTGTAATAGAGAAATTGTTACAACGTACTTGTTCTTGTTGCAAAGTTGAATTAATAATAAAAGTTAAAGAACGAACCCTTACAGATGATGATGGTGTTTATGAAGATGCTTGTGATGATGATGCTTATGATGATGATGTTTGTGATGAAGATGATGTTTATGATGACGATGAAACTAGTGATGATGAAGTTTGTAAATGCGGTTCTACCAACAACCATAAATAGCGATTCTCTGAAGTCCACTCTAAAAACACTACACAATAACACCATCAAAGGCGCCACAGAGACGTATCAGTCGCCGTTGCTGTTGCTTGACGGATGGCCTTCACCTACACCAAAAATAGATCCAACAGGAGAATCACTTCCCAGGGCAATCAGACGGACCCTAGCCCAACTCCGCTCTGGCCATAGTATTCTTCTAAACAGCTACAAAAACAGAATCCACAGTGGGCACCTCAACATCTGTCCTTTCTGCAACAATCATACAGATGATGTACCGCATCTGTTTAGCTGTCCACAAAACACCACAAAACTACAACCAATAGACCTCTGGAGAAACCCAATTGCAGTGGCGGTTTGGCTCCGGCCTCGATTGGAGCCCTAAGAATGGGGCAACAACAACAACAACATGAAGTTTGTAATGATGATGATGAAAATATTGAGGATGATGGTGCTTATGATTCTGCTGCAGTCTCTGCTGAATGTTTCCAGCATTCCTGTCGTAAAGCCCTCTCATCTAGTTTCCCACATTTAATGTAAATTTCTCATTTTTAGACATTTAGAAAGTTTAATTTTGTAATAATTGGTTTGAAAGGGATTACAAGAAAATTTTTAGTTTAAATTGTTCCGGTTAACTCTGGTAAGGGTTAAAATCGTTCCTGTTAATTTAATTCCTGGAACAAAATGGCTTCCCGACTCGTTTGAAACGAGTTGTTTTATTTCTTATTAAGCAATATCAACAGTATCGAAGACGAGTGTTTTGTGCACAGTACTTCAGTTTTTTACACGACTGAGGACATTGTCTCATCCATTAAAACCTTAAAATCTGAAATTGAAAGTTTAAAGTAAGGAAAATTGGAAAAAATCAACAAAAGAGGTCCTTCATCAAACGAGGAGAGATTAGTAGAATTGATTTCTCTACTGAAATTCCTGAGAAGCAATGCCTTGCTAGATAAATGTTCAATATTTATCAGCGCAAGGTCCCAAACCTAATAACTTGGAATAAAATTAGTTTGGAAAAAATTGAAAATGATTTCAGACAAACTCGCTTGAACTGTGTAACACGTGCTGAACTATGTAACAGAAAAGCAAGACACCCAAGCTATTAAATCCATTATATTAAAAAATGAACAAAGATACCCTCGCTCAATGATTTAAGATCGTATAAATCCACACTGCAATTTTTTTTTGGAAAAAATCAATGCTTAATTCATTAGTAAACTGTTTTCAAGCATCTAGCTTAGAGATAAACACCACAAAAACAATTAAACCCAAGTCATCAAGTGCATTGGACGAAATGCCTATGAAAGTAGTTATTCTAACAACTCATTCTACACCTCATTCACTTGAATATCTCATAAATCAATCCATTCATACAGGTAAATTTAACGAAATGTTTCAAACAGCTAAAATTATCTCACTCAGGAAGGAACCTAGAAACTTAGATGCTACCAATTTTCAACCAGTTGCACAGCTTCCCGCATTTTCACAAATCATTCAAAAAATAATGCATAATGAACCTGTATCTTTTTTAAATACTTACAACTTACTCACAGACAGTCAATATGGATTTCGCCAAAAACATTGGACCGAACTTGCAATTGTGAAATTAGTTTATAAAATTGGTGAGGCAGCAGAAAATAAAAAAATGTTATGTCATGCTTGGATCTTTCCAAAGCTTTTGATTGCATCGATCATAAATACTTCTTGCAAAACTGGAAAGGTAAGGCATCAGAGGTACGCAATTAAACTGGTTTCAAAGGTCAAATCTGCATTGTTGTATAAAGACGTAGGAGTCCACCAGGGCTCAATACTGGGGCCTCTACTTTTCATAATTTATGTTAATGATTGACCTAATGCATCAACAGTCTTTGATTACATATGCCAAGCCGATGATAGGGCGATATATTCCTGATAACGATCATCACGACGATGTTCAAACAGACTTGCAATGAGTAATGACGTCACTGACGACGATGATGATGCTTTAATCATACCCGTCAATCACCATCATTTCTTTTGCCACCATCATCATCATAATCACCGTCTACAGCAATAATCATTGGCCGCAACAAACTCGCTTTTTTTGTTATCAGCACAATCTATAATCATAATCATCATCATCCTCATCATCATCATCACCTTCAGCTCTTTCAAGTGTCTGAGTAGTCATGACATAAAGAGGTGGAGCTATGAGGTTGATCTGCAGGGTATTATCAGTTAATCAATTAACCAACCGATCAACCTTTCTATCATTCAATCAATCAATAAAAAACAAATGCTAAAATCAATTAAACAGTCAAATATCAGCCAAGGCAATCAACCAAACTAACCAATCACAAACTAAACCAATCAACCAATCATCTAACAAACCAACTGACCGGATAACTAAACTATCCACCAACGAAACAATCAGCCAACCAATCAAACGATCAGCCAGCCAATCAAACGATCAGCCAGCCAATCAAACGATATGCCAGCCAATCAAACGATCAGCCAGCCAACCAAATGATCAGCCAGCCAATCAAACGATCAGTCAGCCAACCAAATGATTAGCCAGCCAATCAATCGAGTCAGAACTGAAGAGACCTTGATGGGCATTTCTTCAGTGCTCAGTTTGAGGCCCTCCCTCAATGCCATCTTGACTGCATCGACACCTTCGTATTCGTAACATGCCACTTCTATGTCTGTTGTAGTTGTGGTGGGTGGTATGGATAGTCATATGGGTAAGATGATGCATAAACGGATGGATGGAAAGATGATGTGGGAGTGCAACGATGTACAGAATGTTTGAATGGATAGGTGGATGATGGACTGGTAGATAAATGGGTTGATGATGGATGGGTAGATAGATGAATGGATAGGTAGATGGATGAATGAATGGGTTGATGATGGATAGATCAATAGATAAAATCTGATGAATCAAAAAGTTCTGTTCAATTTGCAAATTTATTTCAATCATTTATTTGGCTCCTTTGCTTTATAACTCCTAGGGCTACTAATTCATCATCAATTGATAATATTTTTACAAACAATTTATTATTTCATGAGTCAGGTGGTATGTGCTCATCTTTTCCAGATCATGCCCCTGCCTTCTCTTCATCTAAATTATTGTTCAATTTAAATCCTATTCAACATATCACTATTATCTCAATTATAGAAATAATAGCATCGCTAAATTAGATTTCTCATGACAATGGATTGAAATATTGTTTTAAATTGTTCTGATACTTGAACAACAGCTTTCATTACATTTGTTAATAATGTTTTAAGCAAGAGGTGTCAAAACTCAAAATATCGTACAATCACTCAATATATCACTCAAAATTTCCCTGCAAGAGAAAACTTCGGATCACCAAATGTTTGATCACCTCTTCTACTAATAAGAATAAGCTCTATATTAAATATTTGAGGTTGAAATGACTGTTACACGTACGTTATGGAGATATTTCTCTAAAATTATGTAGAATTTTCGAAGAATCATATAACATATAATAACCAATGTCTCTGGCTGAAAAAGCCTACCATGCCTACCAACATGACTCTTACATCACAAACCAATTAACACATAGTAAGACCAATCTCCTACTAATTCATTAAACACCAGCACGCAAAGAAAAACAACACACACACACACACACACACACACACACACACAGGGAGAGATGAGTAGCAAGAGACAAGCATGCACCTGATCTGATCTTGACAGCGTGTGGGGTCAACCTCCTCTTGATGTTTGCCAACAGGACGGCTTTCGTTTCAGGGTCAATGTCACATTCGTCTAAGACTTCCGGGTTCCTGTTATTCAACAACATCATTAAAAACGTCGTCACTCAACAGGAGAGCAGAGATGAGTGAAGTGCAGCTTGCAGACCACTTGCAAATTTCACTTATTAATTAATAAATAAATTAATTAACTACTTATTAATTGACTAGTCAATTAAAAAACAACCAATCAACGTGGGTGCACTAAATATTTGAATGGTACAAACCAAAGTGGGGTGAATGGAGATGAATTGCTGCCTGATCGATGCGATCATGAGCAGATTGAATGACACTGTAACGAATACAGGGTATTGAACTAACGTAACGGCATGTTTGAAAGCTTCGTACGAGGCACCCACTCTCTGCATCTTCCTGTCAAACATCCAGGCAGTCTTCATGTACAGGTCCTCCAACTGTGTGTCCGTCTCGTACTTCATCAGCTGAGCTACGTGGGTCAAGATGCTGTTCACCTGCAAAATTTGTTTTCGCCGTTGTAGTTGTTGTTGTAATTCAGAATTTGTCTGTTGCCACGAAGCACTTCAGTTCATAAAAACAAACTGATCAACATACACATCAATCAATCAATCAATCTTCGTTTTGTGTCCAGAGACCCGGTTTCCCGAGGTAGGACGTCCTACACACTTCCTACAAAATTTTTTCAATGAAAAAACTCATTTATAGTAATGAAAACAAACCACTTGCATGCCAGGCACACATCATCACCACTCAGTTAAGAGAGGTAGTTAATTTGATGAGAATTTTCTTAAATTTTAATGAAGATAAAAATTTATTATAACAATAATAATGATGATAACGTAAATAATATTAAAAACAACAATGACAACAACATTAATAATAATAAATAGCAATAATAATGATGACAACTGCCTAGCACTGCTCTTAAACTAACACATTTGGCTTTGGCAAATTTCTCCTCGCATTTGATGATCTCTTCTGGACTGACTCTCCTTTTTGACAGGTCAATGTAGCCTGGCGGGATGAGAATGAGTGGTGATCAACTTGCAGAAGAGGATACATGCACTCTGAAGTGATGCAGCAGCATTCACACTACACCTCATGTGACACAACAATAATATAAATAACACCACACAAACAAAAGACTCAAAATAAAAAAAAATAATTAAATTATTAAAACTTAAGCAAATTAATCGCGCAAAAGATAAAAATATAAAATTTTAAAAAATAATTAAATTATTAAAAATTAAGCAGATAAATCGCACAAAGGATTTAACAGACCCACCCTTCTCTTTGTCAACCCTGATGACGACGACACATTCATCCCTCCCAACCCTGATCAATTTGTTGATCGATCTGATGCGCCTTCTCGACAACTCACTCAGCAGGATCATACCCTCTATCTTGTTGTACTCTAGGAGATGAACATACGCTCCCATCTCTGCTATGGACAGCACCGTCACCATGACAACATCATCTATTTCGGGAAACTTGCGCTCATAAAACCTACACGTTAAGACTGGCATTTTTTTGCTGGTTTTGAGATTTCAAAATAGTCTTTCCACCTGAAAAAATTAAATATTACATTATTTTTTAGTAAAAAATAAAAAAATCATAGCAGGGTAGGACATTGTTCAAGGCAAATTACCAAACAAGGTACAATGAACATTAATCATTCAAACCATGGCGATGAGGCTATTTGTGCAAAATGGAATTTAGAAGCAAATTAAGAAAAAAGCTCAAGAAAGGTTTTTGTGGCAAGGCAGAAGATAAACAAGAAGTTGGTGAAAAAGTTGAAAGACGTCCACGAGAGGAACATAAAGAAGAGATCGACAAGTTAGATCAGCCATTAGAAGTGCTATGTCTTATGCAGTTACACAATGGCCTGGTTCAAACATTATTTTCAAAGCTATGACAACTGGGGTGCCCGAGTAGGATGAAAAATATCCAACTCCAATTCCAAAACACAATCTTAAAGAAAATTTCAAAATAAAATTTTTTTAAATTCATGACCTTCCTCCTGAGTCGGAGGAAAGATCTCCGACTCAGACATCCGAAGACAATTGCCTTATTGATTTGCATGATAACCAAATGTTTAAACAAAAAATATATAACAAAATTTTCTTGCCTTTGTCTGAATGTTAATTCTGCACTTCAGAGGTTATTTTGGGAAGCGTGCCACGCAAGCAATGTGATAAAAAGGTAAAATGTTAGATTGGTACCACATCGCTATGTTAACAAAATGGCTTTTAAATTTTGGGGAAGAGACTTAGAAGAATAATGTAATGTTTCAAAAGTGAACTGTAAATAAAAATGTAAAATAAAAGGTGTTTTAAATTAATATTAACGCCGCTAATAAAGTTGATTTAATAAGTTTGATTGGGCAATAAAATATTTTTAAAAAATGTTTTGGAATGTTTAAAAATACCAGCTAAACTGCTACAAGTATTTAAACTTTCAAAAACTAAACCCTAACCCTAACTTAAATTATTTTACTTTTAAACAATGACATAGTTACCAAGGCTCCTCCTCAAATTTAAAAACCATTTGTAAAAACAATGATGCTTTTTCTGAAAAACTAAATCCTTTTTATTGAAACTATTAGAAAATTTTTAAAGACTTTTAAAAAAAATAGCAAAGCAACTGTTTTGTTGATCTGCATGATAAAAACCCAATGAAAATATATAAAAAGTTTTTTGCACCGTCTGAAGATTTGACTAAGTAAATGATAAATCTCCATTCAACAACTTGAATGTGTTGAATCGTGTTGAATCGTCTAAACGTGTGTGGTAACACTCGTTTAGACGACATTTTCCTCGAGATCGGGGGTTGCCGTTTGGCTACCTATGATGAAACCATTGTCACTTCTGTCATCATAAGTAATTTATTTGGCTAATTTTTACGCAGGACGCCCTTCCTTACGCAACCACAGTTATAAGCGGTGGGCCTAGCCTTTGATGATCCAACATCACTCACAAGGCAGTGAGAGTCAGTTTAATGTCATAACCAGGACATAAATCTCCATTCGTTGTAAATGAAAAATTATTGAAAAATTGCTAAAGGACACAGTGAATCATAATTTTGAAATATCAATGTTAATATCAAAACTTTATGAATGATTTTTTGGCCTGTCAAAACAAATCAGCGTGTAGCAAGCCATTTCAATGTTCTAATGATCTATGTGCATTTGCATTCTGGTCAGACAACAATTTTCAAAGCGCACGTACTTTGCTCACATTCAATGTTATAGTATTACACCAATGAATATAACTTAAATAAACTCTATGGAATATATATATATATATATATATATTATTATTATTATTATTATTATTACGGAAATTTATATACAGTGCTTTTTTATAGTTGACCAGCCAATTAAGAAACCTGACACCTAATTCGCATCAAAGTTCAATTTTACAACACCAAAGTTAATTTTTACAACGTCAAAGTTAATCTTGACAAAGTCAATATTTCCCTATATATACAGCAAGGAGCACTGACGATGATTCATTCGGAATCGAAATATGGCCTTATTGTCAGCATGAATTCGAAAAATAAGTTTATTTTGAATTTTAATAAACTAAACGTTCACCAAAAAACTTTAGTGAGAAAAATCAAAAAAACGAACTACAAACATATTAACGCCAAACATTTGGTAGAATTTATAGAATATTGTAAAAATTATGATCTATTACCAACATATATATGTATATGTATATATATATATAATATAATGTATACATCTTCTAATTAGTAAATGCTCAGACTTAAACCATAACTATGCACCTAGGATGTTTTGTCAGAGAAGCCACAACATTTACCACAGACCTAGTAATTTATACCATACAAAATGATAATTAACATTCACTAAGTAAAAAACATAGCTGTATCTTGGACCTAGTAAATTTTCATATGGCAAGTATTATTTACTGCAGACAGAGCCAAAAAAAATCCAGGTACATATATTTACTGTAGACTTGATAATTATTCATAATTTATGCTACCTCATGCTTTATAGCATTATATGTTCAATTCGCCGTGCGGACCCGCACGCCTTATCTTATAGCATCTCAGCGGAGTATTCGCCGTGCGATTCCGCACGCCTCATAGCACTGACCATATTATTAATATTATTAATAATTAATTAATTGAAAATCACCAAAACCAAACATAAACATAATGCACAATTATTTGATACAGCTGAAACATATAATAAAAATTATTTTAAAATATGCAAACTGAATGTACTTACTATGAATTTTAATATTATCGCAACTGAAAATGCAGAGCAAAATAATTTGAAAAAAAGTTCAACACAACAAAATGAACCTATATTACATACACATATTTCATCACAAACCGACATGCGACTTCGACAAAGCTTCCGGTGCTAAAAGTTAACTTTGTGTAAAAGTAAACGCAAATTTAACGGCGACAATAAATTTTTTTCATATATCTATATATAATAAAACATACTTAGCTTAGAACCAAACACTTAAAATTCGTAACATATACTTAGAATACATCACATTTATAGACCTTCAAACGCACTCGTGTACATTTTCAGTAAGTATTCAATCCATCGGTGTGTTGTTGATGTTGTTGTTGACGTCATATGTTATATATCTGATCCTCTTCAGAAGGGGCACGTGACTCCGGCGACACGCGTGCGTGGCGAGGAGGAGCAGTGCGTGGCGGCCTCCCGATCGACGGCATCAACCTGCATAGCTTCATACAGGCGAGCAGGAACATGTCGACCTACAGTTCCACCGTCATGAATGCTAACGTTCAGATTTAATTAATTAACCAATTAATTGATTAAATCGGCGACCTACAGTTCCACCGTCATGAATGCTAACGTTCAGATTTAATTAATTAACCAATTAATTGATTAAATCGGCGATGATGATGATGATTTGTCCATGAGGCTGGTCGCAATGGTTGTAGTTTTGAATAGTTCTTATTTGATGATGATTGGCGGCTGAAGTAAATCACGTTTTGAGCAAATTTTTTAATGTTGGAAAAGTTTTTTTATGCCAACTCTCTTCCTCTTGCGACCACTTAGCAGCATGTACGGCAGCCTCATCCACCAGCACAACTTGCAAAAAAACAACTTGACCAACCACATCAGCAGCCAGCACATCAACAACGATCTCAGCAACAACGAGGACCACTTCAACTGCGCCAGTCCCATGCTCTTCTCACATCCCGTGCGCAAACCTCGGAAGAGATTCGAAAGTGAATTTGAAGAGTGCATGTCGCTGAGCAGAGCTGAGGCTGGCTGACTGGTTGGTTGGTTGGCTGGTTGGTTGACTGGTTGTTTGGCTGGTTGGTTGGTTGGTTGGTCAACTAGTTAATTGGTCGGTCGGTTGGCTGGCTGGCATCTTTGATGATTGGTTATTCTAAAACCAATCAAAATGTTCTTTTGATTTTAATTTCAAACTCGGTATCTACATGGTATCTAGTTACTTCATATATATATATATATATATATAATGTCTATATATATACATATATATATATTTTATGTATATATATATATATATATATATATATATATATATGCCATTAAAAATGGTTGCCCAGCGTGCGTTTATAATCTTTTTTATTAAAACCTCAACACTTCTGAGTTTGTTGAATTCATATTTATTGAGAGGAAAATTATTATTGAGCTTGGCCAAGTGTTGAGGTTTTAATAAAAAAGATTATAAAAGAAAGCTGGGCAACCATTTTTAATGACATTTGTATTAAAGAGAGCCTCGTTCCTATATATATATATATATATATATATATATATATATATATATATATATATATATATATATTGTTCCGTCTTTGTGTCTTTGTTTTTACAGCGACTTTGATTGTAACTTAATTCGAATCAAAGTTAATCATGTGTTTCTTTGTTGGAAGAATATTAGTATTATTTAGTTGAATATTTATTGCTGGTTTACGTTTATCGATAAAAATTGATTCTGCTATCTTCAACTTGAAGTATTCTCTGTTGTAATAAATCAGAATCACTTTAATCACTTTTAAAGGAAAAGAATATAATAAAAAATAATATAATTCCTACAGATCCTAATGATAAAATCAAACTAAGGATTTTTTATAAAAACACTAAAACATCAAACCTCATCTTAATAAATAATTACACACCACGTGTTGAATCACAACTGAAACGTAGTTATGTCATATATAAATTTTCCTGTCCAGTTGACGATTGTATGCGTCTAAAATCATCATATATCGGCATGACTACCACGGATTTATCGCGGAGATTGACGATGCATAAAAGAGAAGGTGCCATTAAAACCCATCTCCTTGACAAACACAACACAACAATCACCAGAGGTATACTAAATGACAACACAACCATCATCTATAGTACCCAACAATATCAAAATCTTAAACTCGCTGAAGCCATTCTAATAGAAATGCAAAAACCTACATTGAACAACCAACAACAAATTAAAACAACTCTCCCTACGCATAGATTAATTAACAACGTCAACATTGTTGCTAATAATTTTAACGTCATCGATAATAATAATAATAATAATAATAATAATAATAATAATAATAATAATAATAATAATAATAATAATACTTTTAATAACAATGATGACGACGACAACAACAATACAAACAACGATAGCAACAACAACAGCAACAATAAAAAGAACAACAACTACAACAACAATAATAATAATGATGATGGTGATAATAATAATAATAATAATGATAACGATAATAATAACAATGATAATAATGATAATAATAAAAATAATAATAATAATAATAGAAACGATATTCTAATTAATTTCGCGCTTCAAATTTGCGACATTGTTGGTTGCCATCTTGACAACGGCCACGTAGCATGAACAATCGTATAATTTCAAATATTTTGTTTACTAATTTCAATGAACCTTTGCGTTTTTATTTCGTTACTTTTATTTTATTTTAATATATTAAAAAATACAACTAATTAACTATTAATAGAATTTATTTAAAATATATTGCACTGATGATGACTTTACGTCGAAATAGATCTATATGCATAATTTTAATAATAATATAAAAAATAAACGATTATAAAAATGGGATCTTGCTTGATTAATTTTAACAATTAAAATCATAAACGATTATAAAATGGATTTCAACATTTTGAATAGACTTAATTGTAAAGAACTAGTTCAAAATATTAGAAAATCAACCATAAAACTTGTTAATGCTGAATCGTCGGTGGATTTTTTGAACAACTGTATAGAACTTGGTCTTCTTCCTAATTTTACCAAATATATATATATATATATATATATATATATATATATATTAGGGTGGTCCCCAATTACATTGGAAAAAATAAAACGCCTAATTTTTCATGTCTTACCCTTTTATTTGTTTCTCTCATATATAACAAGTAATATGATAAAATTTTATTGACCATAGACAAAATTTAGAGGTCGCCCAAGCGAGTCAAAGAGTCCTGTGCTATCACATAATTATACGTATTAGCATTTTGTTGCAAAACATGACAAAACTGTTACAAACTACCTGATAAAATTATTATGTCCAGTACCCAGTGTCACTGTTAAACCATTTAGTTGTTAAGGAGATGTATTTCCTCCCACTAATGTCTCTTTCTTTGGGTTTGGATACTGGGTACGATGGTACTCAACAACTTGCAGAAGATACTGCTTTTGTTCTTCAGACGATACTATTGCTCTGTTAAAATCCTGCATCAAAGCAACTTCTCTCTCAGCAAAATCATTGACTGGCTTTATACCGCTTACAACTTTAAAAGCTTTCTTGTACTGTTCATCTTCTCTCCACTCGGAGGGTCTCTTGTTTAGAAATGAGTGAGGCAATCCGAGGATTGCAAAGAATTGCATGGTGGTCTTTGACAGACATTTCATCAGATATTTCATTAATAATCATCTGCACTCTTTTGGTGAAGTCGTTGGTTGTTTTTAATTCTACTGACAAAGCATCAACCATCAACACTTTCTCGTCATGAGAAATTTAATCATCGAAAAACGCAGCTCCAACAAGTTCCTCGCTAACATACCATAGATGTCTAGAAAGTGCGTTTGCAGCGGCAACAGAAACTTCACGGTCTACATCTCTGAATTGTTGGATTCTCTTTATCAGCTGGAGATCTTGTCTAGCGGCACTAAGAAGATCTGGAGCCGTGAACTACGATCTAAGATACACACAGATGCCAAAAACGATGAAGCGACAGATTCCCTTTTCTTCAACTCTTGTCAGCAGAAACTGATGACGATACATGTACAATTTGAAGGCGTATATTAGTCTCGCCATCCAGCGTGCCCTATGCAGAGCTCCAGGTTGCAGAACTCTGGCTCCCCTTGGCGGTGTCTCTCCCAGCAAAATAAGTAAAAGCTCCAGTAGTTCTCTGTAATCGCACCTTGGCTGAAATTGTTCAAGTTGCGTTAGACAAAAGCTAACGATACCTTCTTTGTGTTCTTCAACTTTGCTGTTCACGCTTTCATCATCCATAATTGTATGGTAATCAGCTTGGTTAATGCTGTTGAACTCATTTCGAAAGCGCAAGAAGAGTGCTATTTCTGGACCTGATGTATTAAACGACATGCATGCAGCAAACGCATGCTCAAGTATTATTTCAGATATGTGGTGAGGGCAAGCTATGTGAAGCACGTTACGCCTTAATTTTTGTTGCAGCCGGGTGCATGCTCCATTTTTCTTTCCAGTATTACTCGCTGTAGTATCGAACACTAATGCCTTAACAGACTCCTCTAGGTTCCATTCTAAGAGGCATTCGTGCACTGCTGTAGCCTCTCTCCCCTGTACCAGATTCTAGTTTTAAAACTGATAAGAGCTTTTCAACTCCAGCTCCTGCAACAACAATGGGAAGACGATCAATTTTCTGATTACCGGTCAAATCAAGTAAGAGCTTCCCATCCCAATGGACAGCCAAAGGAACGTCTGGAGAAAAATTCCTTCGAATTTCCTACGCAAGTTCTTGACGATGCTTATGCCTTGCTCGTCGAATTGAGGATCTATTGATGGCAAGGTTTCCAGCATTTAAGCCAAGGTGTTTGGCAACTCCACTGATGATGTACGTCGCCTTTCTATCAGAAGTCTCCCTGCTAACTGCACAGTGTGACCAGGACATGGAGAAGCTTTTCCTACTTTGTTTTACCTGCACACGTTTGCCAATGCTGTCTTCTTCTGATTCACATTCTGACGATGAATACTGGAACTGTGTTCTATTTCAGCTGAACATGCACCGGCAGTGATCTCTTCCTGCGCCTGGACTGACTTTAATTTGTAGTTCTCCTGTCTTCTTTTCCTTTCATACGAGAGTGCCTCTTTCAGAGCCAGATTCTTATCTACACCACTCATATAACCACGCCGTCCCGGTTCCCTTTGTGCCAGCAAAAATTTTCTGTTTTCTTGTATCTGAATCACTTCAATAGCATTAGCATGTGCTATATCAAACAGATCTTTTCGTGAATGAACGAATGCTTGTTCTTGACGTCTTTGAGCATCTGAGTTTCTCTTAGAATGTTTCTTTAATCATTGCCACAGTTTAAACATATCCTCCAGCTTCTTAATGGCGTTGTATTCTTGAGTTGTAGGAATTCTGGCCCGTTGCCATATTGGAAGTACCTCTCTTATAACAGCAGTCTCACTATCGCGAACTGTCATTTTCTCTGACAAATGAATGTACAGAAAGCGACGCATCACTTCACCTTTCGCTGGTAACTTGTTACTCAGAATTGCAGTTTTTAGAGGCTGGCCTAGAAGATAAATATCCTGCTTCTTTCTTGTTGACTCAGCCATGTTGTTTACTTTTTCAAACAAAGATCTGTTAAATTTCTTGTTACGTAGATCGTTTAATTAATTGATATACTATTGAAAGACATTAAAAGAAGAGAAATAAACTAAGCAACGTTCTTGACTTGTTTATTATCAACCGGATCAACAGAAAAAGGAAAAAGTGAAGTTACATACAAAGCAAAGAACATTTGGTCCAAAGAAAAATAAATGTATATTATAAATCATAATGTTTTAATATAAAACATAAAACTTAACACCTTCTCATTTTATTTAAAACACTAGATGACCTTAACCTAAATGTTCTGAAGACCCATCGCACACATCAGATTCTTTAGTCTTGGTCCTACCATTGGTTTTGTCAGAGCATCAGCAACTTGAAGTTCTGTCACAACTCGTTCAACTGAAACTTCTTCTTCTGCAACTTTTTCTCTGACAAAGAAATGTCTAATGTGGATGTGCTTTGTTCTTCTGTGAAATTCTGGATTGTGTGCTAAACGAATTGCTGCTTCATTGTCGACAAAAATTTCTGGCTTTTTCTTTAGATCTATAATGTCGTTCAACAATCGTTTGAACCATATCACTTCACGAGCTGCTTCACTTGCGGCAACGATTTCTGCTTCAGTAGTTGAAATCGCAACTGAGGGTTGACGTTGGCTAAACCAACTGATCACGCTTCCTCCAAACATACAGATTACACCTGATGTCGATCTTCCACTAGATTTATCTCCTCCATGATCTGCATCACTGTAGGCTATAAGTGTATTGTTTTGACCAGACTTGTAAACAATACCGACATCAGCTGTGCCTTGCAAATATCTAAAAATATGCTTAACTTGTGCTACATTGGACTTACTGGGTTTCTCTAAACTTCTGGATGCTACTCCAACTGCATATGCAATATCTGGTCTTGTTCCCGTCATCAAGTACATCAATGCACCAACTGCTGATCTGTAAGAAAATTTCACTTCCTCATGTTCATTTTTGTTTTCATCGAACTCCTCAGATTTTGAAATCGGAGTTGTACAGGATTTACACTGACTCACCCCAAACTTTTCAAGAATCATTCTTGTATAGGATGACTGACTGACATTAATATTTCCCTTCTCATCTTGATTAATCTCTAATCCAAGGAAATATGTTGCAGGTTTAGATGTTATCTTGAACTATGACTTTAATTCTTTTTCAAATATTTTTAGTTCTTCTTTATCGGTTCCTGCAACTAGTCCATCATCAACATACAGTGCAAGTATGAGTTTCTTTCCTCCCTGTATTCTAATGAACAAACAAGTATCTGCATCGCTTTGTTTGAAATGTCTCTTTTTCAAGAATTCAGCAAAGCGTTTGTTCCAACATCTTGGAGCTTGTTTAAGTCCATAGAGACTTCGCTTGAGTTTACAGACTCTTCCTGAATTATTTTTAAAACCTTCAGGTTGCTCCATGTAAATATCTTCATCTAGTTTGCTGTAAAGAAATGCTGTTGACACATCAAACCGCATGAGTGACATCTTTTCATTTGCAGCAACACTTAATAGTGTTCTTATAGTTGAACTTCTGACCACAGGACTATAGGTTTCTTCATAGTCAATTTCCTTTTTCTGAGAAAAACCTTTTACCACTAGCCTGGCTTTAAAACGTTCAACAGAACCATCTGGATTGTGTTTTACCTTGTAGACCCATTTGCATGGTATTGCCTTATGACCTTTTGAAAGACTTACCAAATCCCACGTTTGATTTTCCTTTAATGACTGCATTTCACTGTTCATGGCTTTAAACCATTCATCTTTTTCATCACTTTGAATGGCATCTTTGTAGCTCACTGGTTCAAGTACTTCACATAATGCAGACATAACGAAAGGCTTTTTGATATCATTCCTGTCACGTAAAACCATACCTTTGGTCTTTTGATTACAACAGTCAGATTGATCTTCTTCATCAGATGAAACTGAACTACGGTTGTGAACATCTTCATCAGTTGAAATATTTTCTTTAATCAAAGTTTCTTTATTTTCATCTTTGATTTCAACATCAATCGAAACTGTATCATCTGAACAACTTTCTTCTTGCAAAATCACTGAATTTGGTTTGACAACCTTCTCATCAAAAATAACTGGTATAACTTTCATGGTATAACTGCAATGCATCTTGATCACTGACAAAGTTAACTTCGACTTCAGAATTCAACGGTCTAACAATTTTTGAGACAAGTTTGAACAAACCTCCATTGTTGTTTCTTATTCCAACAACATTTATCACATTGTCAATAAGTAGATGACAATTTCTTGAGGTTGAAACAAAAGAGCTATTTCTGTTCTTATCTTGAGTTGCAAGTACTGAGAACAAATTTCTTTTTACTTTTGGCACATACAAGACATCTGTAAGTTTAACAGTTTGCCATTTATTATTCACTTTCACTTGAAGATGAATAATTCCTTTTCCAAAAGCTTCTACAGTATCACCATTTGCAACATATAATTTACTCGGTTGAGAAAATTTTTCAAAACATTGAAATATGTCTCTTCGGAAAGTTAGATGACACGTTGCACCATTGTCAAAAAACCATTCATCAGTGTACGCTGACTCATCATATGCTTTTCTTGGTGTCGCTGAAGCATTTTTGGAATTTTTAGAAGGTCTTCCATCACCGACCCACTTTCTACATTGCTTAACCCAATGTTCAGGATTATGGCAATAGTTGCAATTACCAACTGGTTTTGTCCTTTTAGTGAAATCTCTTGATTTGTTGAAACTTGGCTTTTCAACATTTACAAATAAGGCGTTCTGCCTTGATGATTTATCGATTGTGTCGAAAGTCTTTATCTCTCTTTCGAAAGCACAGAGATGAGTGATTAAATCACCTATCGACTGCTTTTTTTCACCTAGCATTAGCCAACTTGATTTGAAGTTTTGGAAACTATTTGGGAGAATCTGCATCGCTTTGCATACTAATAGCAGCTCTGGTAGTTTATTTTCTCCCGATGCCTGAAGCCCACTGTTTAATTAGTTCCATAAAGTCTTCAATCTTGCAATATGGCCGGATACATCTACATCCGCTATCCAATTGAAATCGAAAAAATTGCTACAAACTTGGAACAGTTGGCCCTTAGTTGACGCTTCAAAATTTCTTTTTAATTCCTTCCAAACTTCAAACGCTGTGTTCTTGCCCATTATCTTTTGGTATGTATCTTCTGTGACTGCATTCACAATTACTGATTTGGCATAACTGTTTGCCTTTCTAAACAGATCTGATTTATTTTTAAAATCTTTTGCCTGTTGCTCTGTTTGGTTTTCTAGTAATTCTGGTTTCGACAACTTCCCATCAATCACATCAAGTACGCCCTCATGGTAGTCCATGAAATCTCGAACACGACGTTTCCAAATGGGCCAATCGGCTGCGCAACTTAACTGTTTTATTTGAAGCTTTGAATCCATTTCTTCCTTGTCTTTTCAATTTGACCTTTTAATTAGAAGCAAAATATCGATTTTCAGAGAATGAAGAAGCACGTGTTTTTTCTTCACTTCAGTCTTCACAAAGGAATCTTCCGATATTTCTTTATTCTAAATTTTCTTCGTCAAATCAATTAATTAAGGTCCATATCTGGGTCCATAACCTGTTAAATTTCTTGTTACGTAGATCGTTTAATTAATTGATATACTATTGAAAGACATTAAAAGAAGAGAAATAAACTAAGCAACGTTCTTGACTTGTTTATTATCAACCAGATCAACAGAAAAAGGAAAAAGTGAAGTTACATACAAAGCAAAGAACATTTGGTCCAAAGAAAAATAAATGTATATTATAAATCATAATGTTTTAATATAAAACATAAAACTTAACAAGATCTGTTAACAAAAAACAAAGGCGATGTATTAGCAATTTAGATTAATTATTAGGCTTATAAGGTAAAACTTCAGAGCCCTTGGGCGACCTCTAAAGATTGTCCAATTGACCTAAGATTTTACACCAAGTATTACCTAATGGGTGGTAACAAAATTAGGTGGTAAGACAAAAAATTTAAAACTTTTTTAATATATATATATATATAATAAAAATAATTATGTGTAATGTTGTAATATTTGTGCATGTTTAACTTTGACAGAATATCAAAACGCGCCCATCGCTATAACGGTTTGAATTTAAATTTTGTTGATTTATTTTTGAAACAGTTTATTTTAATTGTTTGTTATCAGATTTTTAAACTTTTAAATTTAAAGTATTAAACGGAAACTGAGCTGATGTTTCGTGTTCGTAAAACTTCAATAATTGAATAATGTCGGCGTTTGCATGCATCAATTTCTTCATCTCTCTACTTGGCATCTACCTGACTCTCTTCTCATCTTCAGGTTTATTTTTAAGAACTTACTTTCAATTTAGACGTTAATTTATTAATAATGTTTCCACCATAATTACGATTTTTTCAATTATAAAGTATTATTTTATTCAGATGTCGTCAGAGCCCAGGACGATTACCGTGGTTGTTTCGCAGTGATTCTACATACCAATGCAAGATCCGTCATGAACGACAATGCCTATGAAGAGTGCAAAAATTTTTGCCTTCCTTTTACTTTGGCTTACATGGCTTTACGTGTTTGTTTCTATTTTCATTCCCTTATTATTTTATTTTTTTGTAATTACATTTAATTTTTTTAATTTTTTTTCCAAGTTCATTCATGAAAATTTAAGAACATTGAAGAATTTAAAATAGCAGGTCGCATAACGTTGAAAAATGCGGAAGCGCGCGCGCTGAACTTAAACGAATTTTTATGAAAGTGAATTTACATTGTTATCGCAAACTCGCGTTTTCGTTGTCGTTATTTTTGTTTATTTTTCGAAAATGCGACCATCTATATAATTTTGCTTGTTGTGAGCGATAAAAGAAATGTGTATTATAAAAATATTTTTTCTTTGTTGTTGTGAGTCACATTTGTTGCAGACTATTCGCTACGAGGTTGGTGTATTTTACTTTTTTTTAAAAAATTAGTTAAACATGGACAACACCGATTTT